TGTGTGTGTGTGTGTGTGTGTGTGTGTGTGTGTGTGTGTGTGTGTGTTGTGTTTTTTTTTTTTGGCTGAGGTTGGCACAGCACTGGTTCTGCCTAGCTACGCTGCACAAACATGATGACATGATCCGCCTCAACAACTGCATCCCTGGCCCAGTTTATCCTCTTAGCACTGAAAGTACAGTAAGCCAAAGCTGCGTGGTCGCAGGTCATGAGGGTGGAAGTGCTCAGAGGGCCCGTATCAGCTGTGGACGCTGGAACCAAAGCCAAAGTCCTGTGCTTTTGATTACAGGTGAATTTTGGGGATTTTCATTTTATTTCTCCCCCTTTTTTTTTTTTTTTTTTTAGGTGGTACAAAAAATGATGTGGTTGATGGACCATGTGTTCAAATACACCAACTTTGGCCTAGTGTCCCAGATCCATGGGGACTTCTTCATCAGACAGGTAAGAGACCCACAACTGGTACTTTTAACACTGTGAGAAATGTTGGTGTTTTTATTGTCACACCTGTTATTTGAACATAACATGCTCTGCATCACATTAACACTAAACATACTAACATCCAGCTGTGAGGCAGGGTTTATTTTAGTCTGTAAATTAGCCTCAAGGCTACATTGTCAATTGTCGCTGGTACAAGAAAGACTATTTTCCCCTCACATGTCAACACCTTGTTTCCCCTGAAGGTTTCAGGATAACAACGTAGACCTTTTAGGCCATCGTTATTTCAACCTCCCGGCTACTGCAGGCCTGTTTTTACTGCACGTTGCAAAGCGGAGTCACTACCCGTCTGCTTGTCCCAGCTGGACAGCAGATATGTTGGTGGGATTCGGGCGTCCTCTGAGAAGGATAACAGCAGTGGACAGTAGTGTGTGTGTGTGGGGGGGGGGGGGGGCTGCCCTTTTGTTGTGGAGGCATGTGGAACAGAGCAGCCTGCTTTGACAGGCCGACACGTGTAGCCGACAGGGCTCCTATTGGTCGGGGGTGTTCCTGGAATATCGTGCAGGTTTGGGAGGTTTATCCCACACAGGGAACAGGGATTCCCTGCGTAGGACCATGCTTGGGGTTCATTAACAATTTTAATAGATTTTGATTCCTGCAAAATCCAGGAAACTGTAACACGATTTTAACATAACATTTTGGAGGACTTAATGCACAAAAGAGTTACTCAAAAATAATAAACAGTCTGCAAGGCGGACATTGTTATGCATATTCAAAAAATACCATTCAGCCATGGCCCGTCAGTATCATGTCCTTCAACTAATATACATGGTCATCCACTTCTAATAATCAGTTTTAGAACTGCCGTTTGTGCTTCTTGACATTCATCCGATATCTGCAGACAGCTGGCTAGGTAGCATTAGCTGGCTAGGTAGCATTAGCTGGCTAGGTAGCATTACCATACCCAGCCAGTCGAGAAGGACTAAATGAAGTTGAATCTGCACACAGATAATGTATCTCGTAACCAGAGACGATATCTCGTCAACGAACGGCACAGATTAGTGTGCAGTTTTTTTGTCAGCTTGTCCCTCATCTAAAGTTAAATGCAGCTGTGTCACTACGAGACATCTGGAGTCACAGGAATGTCACAATGATGACATTTAACTTATCATGCAAAAAACACACATTGAATTTGGAGAATAAATTCTGATATTGCTCAGCCCTCCTTTCTGTATGTAGGAATACATCAGTTTATGTACATTTGATGTACTTAGATGTTACTTTTCTGTGGGGCTAAACAGGACTTGTTGGCATCAGCTCCTAAAGGGCAAAGATTAAAAAAAAAAAAATAGATTTAAATAACAGCACTGCTAATGTTGTGTGTGCCCGCACACCCCTCTCACACGTTCTGAGCTGCAAAAACACCACAGCCATGGAAAGGGGGAATTCCGTTTTGTTTTTTTTAGGTCATGGAAATGCTTTGCCGTGGAATTTGACATCTGGCTCTGTGCCGAGGGTGAAGCACCCCGAGCCCACTCACGGACGGACGGGCCGGAGTGGAAGGCCGTTAGCGGACCGGGCCACTTCTGTCATCTCCCCCCTCTGTGATCCCCTCTGGCATCCTTGTGTGTTCATTCTTGACATCCTTCCCCCACAATACTTCACGTCCACCCAGCACAGCCAGCATCTGGCCCCGCCTCCCAAGCATCTGCTGTCCACTCGGGATGTAGCATCACTATGCACGGCACAACACAGCAGGCTTTGATGGCCCGAGCACACGTACTTGTTGCACACGTCTGTTAATGGACTTTTTCTACTTCAAATTAGACGCATTCCTCAAATTAGTGATTCATGTAGTTTTTTATTTAAAGGATGTAGAAAGCTGATTCCATGTTTATATTCTGAATATAGCAGCTGTTGACATTTTCTGGTTACATTTCAGCCACCTAGTTAGACAGAATCCTCACTGGAGTCAAGTAAAACTGGTACAGTAAGGTAATACTAAGTGTGAGTGCATATTTATTTACACATATGATGAATAGATGGTTCAAAAATCCCTGCTGTGTTCAGTTAAACACACCCATGTTTGTGCATAGAAACAGTTCTCATGAGAAACAACCTCAAGGAATTTCCTTTTTTATTTGAAATGAAGACGGTTACAACATGTGCAATAAAAGCATCAAAAGAACAAATGAGCTCATATGTATGCATACAGATAAATAGACTGTCGCCTATAAGATCTCCTTTCAGTGCCGCAACTACACACACAACAAGCGCTGCTATCCATAACTCATAATAATTCATGTTGATGCATCATGAATAATGTTGGTGTAGTATTCCTAAATTAATGTGCTATTTAGGATTTTTGGGAATGCATATATTGAAAAGAACGCTCACTGTGTATGCTCGCATGTGGCTACATGTGTGCTCACATGACACATGCAGAGTCCAGCCCCTTTTTTTTTTCAAACTATAATTGCTTGCATTGTGCATTTTCTCAACGTCTTTCTGTTGTTTCCACAGGGTAAAGCTTACCGAGACAAGCAGCTGATTTACCTGAAAGATCACCTAGAGAAATACTACCACAGCCGCGACAGGAAGTGGATAGTGCTGTTCCCGGAGGGCGGCTTCCTGCGCAAGCGGCGGGAAACCAGCCAGCTGTTCGCCAAGAAGCATTCTCTCCCCCACTTGACCCACGTCACGTTGCCTCGTCTCGGGGCCACGCAAGTTATCCTAAAAACCCTGTCAGCCCAGCAGGAGAACGGCAGCGTGGGCAACGAGACTGGGACCCCTAACCAGACGGGTAACTAGCCCACATTCAACCTTTTCTGATCAAATTTTGTTTTTTATACTGGAATATTTGTGCGATCTATTTGGATCTATGAAGTTTATTTGGGCTTGGTTTTACGACCGTAACATGTTTTTTAGTATCTTTCTCGCCCCTTTTATGTCTTGATTGGAGAGTAAGAAGTAGATACAGGTGGCGAATTACATGCAACACTTCCTCAGCTGTACATGATTTTGATTGCGTTGTTCCTTGAAGCCCGAGGCCACCAGGGTGCCCCTCTTCCCTCAAAATGAACCTTCGGTAATGTTTTAGTGTCGTGTTCATCTCAGCCTCTCATCGCATCTTAAAATGAGACAACACTGCACTGAACTGTTAAATGGATTATGAGTATTTTGTGTTAAGACACTTGATTCACTAAACACAAGTGAGCTTTGGATTGAACTTGGAGGTGTTCTTTGAAGTTGTGGGATTTTTTTTTTTTTCCATATTGATTGAATGTTCTGGAAAAAATGATATATTTTGTCTTTACTACAGTCTCTGTGAACTGTAGCTCATGGCAGAATGTGATCATATGTTGGCTTGAAGGCCACGGACGGAGCATGTTTCAAACATGAAGCATTAAATCACTGCCTCTGTCCTCTGGGAGTCCTGTTTTAAATCATAGGGGAAGTAACGGGTGACATGCAGAGAGGTGCGAGGAATTGCATCAAAGTCCCTGAAACCCCGCTGGTTATTTTGCAGGAGTGTCATTTCTCCGTCTAGACACCAGCCCCAATTACAGCCAGTGAGCAGGAAGATAACTCTACAATTATCAACCTTTGAGAGGGAAATTTCTCTGTTTTTTTTACACTTTTTTTTTTAACTGAAAGGTCTTACTACACTTACTACCTTGGCAGGAACAAGATTTTTCCACCAATAATGCTCATGGTTTAACTCGGCAAAAGGATCCAGATGACATGGTAAACCCGCTTCTTGGAACCGTCCCCAGCATACAGCACCGCGTTCAAACGGCCGTAAACACACAGATGCAATGAGGTCCACCCAGCGGTCTCTGCTGGCTTTGGTTCAAAATCCATTTTAAGGATTTGCTGTGTTAATAGTGATTTGGAGAGACTTTGGGCCGGCACTATTGAGAACGTGGCTCAGGGACTTTAGCCTTCCACAAGTCTGCTAACGCAGCTCTGTGTCCGACGGCCTCAGCACTAACGGCAAGAGGCTGTCTGTTCATCCCTCTGCAGGACGGACTGTCAAACCAAAGGAGTGTTTCTTAATCAGCTGTCGTAAAAATGGAGATAAAGACGAGAACTGCTTTATTTATGGGCTAAATTTTATGCTGTGTGTGCAAGTTTTTGTTTTGGCTTTTCTGCAAATTTAGCACGAAGACGGTACAAAGTCACTAACGACAGCAGATGTTTCGTTTATAACCTCGGGCACGAAGGGGATTTTAAAAACATTTTTAGCGTTTTAGTGGTGTCACAATATATATTTCCCTGCTTTGGTGTAGTTCCAGTTCATACCCCAGTTCTTCCTTTTTCTCCTCCTGTCCTTTGGTCTCTTCCAGCCGCTCAGGAGGAGAGGAAGCTGGTTGCTGCAGTAGCGCTCGTCCTTCTACTTGAATCTAGCTAATGGCATTAAAACCTAGGACACTATAGTGTGTGTGTGTGTGTGTGTGTGTGTGTGTGTGTCTGGCTGATGAAAGACACGGCTCTGTCTGCCTCTGATGCTCTGCAGAGGTGCCCAGAGCTTGCTGACTCACTCAAGAGACAAATGGGCCACTTGGAGGAAATAGGATTTGATGTAAATGTGTGTGTCGCTGTGCATCAGCCGCGCAATGTCAACTGGGCTACATTCAGCGCTCTGCGCAGATACGAGGCACACGGGTCACTAGTCACCAGTGAAGCCTGCAGAAAGTCTCCGTGTGCAGCTCAGACCGATGAGGTTTCATGTGTTTTATAAAACTGTGTTTGCAGCTGGCAGGTTTGCAAAGTCCGTCGCTGTGAGTCATTTAGGGTGGGAACGGAGCTCCGTGTGACCCAAAGGTAGATGTGTTTTGATAGCGCCAACCAATCGGAGGCTGTTTCTGTCCACGTTTAGTCAGTGGGAGGGGACATGTGTGGGTTTCAAGTGTTGTAATTGGCCCGCAGAGTGGCCTGATGGGGAGCCAGATATCTGCCCGTGTGTTTCCTTCCTCTTAACTGTTTACAGAAGGACAGGGCCTCTCTGATGCCATTTTTAATTACCGTGGCTGCTGTTATTACAGTATTGTTTGTCACAGCACACGGGGCACCAGCGATACCTTGGCTTGGGGCCCCGTTCGTTGGCTCACAGGAGACGATGGCTGCCTTTCAACACACTTGGACAGACCTCTAGATCCAATTACCCATGCAGGGATAGGTGGTAGCCATTCCCTCCAATACCAAGGATACCTATCGAGTCACAGTAACAGTGATATACATGAGCCAGCAGCATGTTTCTAGCTGGTTGTTGTTGTTGTTGTTGTTGTTGTAACCAGTATAATACTAAGTGAACCAAGGTGTGCATTCATTCAAAGGACTTGTGTCATTCATACCCTCACTTTGCATGTTGGTGATCAGTATAAGATGTAGTAGAGACCACCTTGCTGTTGCTGCTGGTAAAAATACATAAGTAGCCAACGGTAATAAACAATTACTTCTGATGTTGTATTAGGAACACATCAGCCTCAGGCCGCTAGCTTGGTTAGCATTGTATTGTGAATCTGTGATATAATAGATTTTCTGGAAGATCAATTAGGACACACGTGTAAACATCCAATATGATCGCAAAGCCTTATAAAGTCTTGCTCATCGATTTGCAACAAAATGCTGAATACACTCAGTTATGAAAGGCGTGGCTATCACAGTATAAACATGGCAAAGTCATTACGATAGACCATTATATTCTCTCATAGTCTCACTCTACAACTGACAGTTTTACTGCTGTTGACTTGGATAGGTTGGATAGGTTGTGATGTTAACTTGGCAAATGAGTTGTAAGAATGTAGCTCCGCTCTGTCACACGGTTTGTTTACCTCTAGTAAAGACGTTGTGCTCAGAGAGGGAGGCGTTCGCTGCTCAGTGACAGCAGCCTGTGACGTTAGCCGGCCTGTTAAATATGCACGGCTTCACATCGACCTCGCTTTAGATCTGTCCGTGGCGTCTGAGGCCGCTGGTGTTTACTCCTTTTACATTTGACGAGCTAGTTCAGCTTAACGGAACACGCCGGCGTTTCGTTAATGCACTTGTTTGCCGTCAAAGCCCACAGTCGGGTGTTAAGGGTGTTTCATACCTGCGCGTTCAGCACAAAGACAGATCTGGGATTTGCTTAGAATAGATCAGCTCTCATGCTTGATGCGAGGGGAAACGTGTAGCTTCTGCCGAAAGTAAAGAAATATGGCTTTCAGCAGGTTTATGTTGGTGGATGGGCTCTCGTTTGTTTTCTCTCCACTCCCAATAGTCACACACATTGACACACTGAAGTAATGCCAACCTTATTTACAACCGGCAAGAGGTTTAATGTAGAGAAAATACAACATATACGTTTGTGTTTACATGCAGGTGACCCTGCGTAGTGTGTATAAATACACACATATTTATCACATGTTTAGCATTCCCTCTGGTCAACCATCGTCCTTCTGTCTTCTTTCTTTCTTTTCCTTCTGTCGTCTTCTCTTTCTCACCCTGCCACTAGGCTTTAATTTGATTTGTTTTGTGGTAATTTATTGGTATGATAACATGACATAAAGGATTAGCTTTTGAGGTGAAAATGATTCTGTTGCTGTGACTGCCCGCCACTGTTCTTAAGCTGGATGACCAGGGTTCATCGAAGGGCCGCTGAATCTCTCCCAGCCGTGTGTCCTTCCCCCTCACAGCCTCGTTGGCTGAGGCTAAACGAGAAGGCTCTCACCGTGTGGATTATTTGAGTATGCCGTCCTTAGAATGTGTCCTAACTTCCCGTATTTGTGTTTTCCTACCATGGCAGGTAATAAACGTAAAGGCCTGCAGTGGGTCGTAGATGTGACCATAGCTTACCCCAAAGCCAGACCCATGGACATCCAGACCTGGATCTTTGGCTACAGACCTCCTACAGTCACGCATGTACACTACAGGTAAGAATAAAATATACATTTCATCATATGAGGAATGTATACGACCAGAGAGTCACACCCCAGGTCGATAACAGAGCTACACTTTGGTACACAGATACTTTGAGACTCTTAGTGTGACTCACATTGGCAGCGTTCACTTGTTTCGACTAAGAGCTTTATGTTCATTCGCCCACTGATAACACAAGTTCACTACAGACGAACGCACCTTGCATACCTCGTGAGTCAGCAGAACACGCCTGACTTTAAAGTCTCCCCGTGGAGTTTCAGACCTCTAGTAGCGCCTTGGAGCTGCTTTTCTACGACTTGTTTTATCTCCTGCACTCGTGGGACATTTCTAAGCACTGAATGTGACTGATTATTGTGTTTGAGGCAAAACATGCATAGGAGAAAGTAGTTGGTGATATTGCAGTGTTTTAAAGTACACGTTGGCTTGAAATGTAACAATAAGGGGGGGAAAAGCAAAAAAGCAGGTTGTAATACAAAGTAAATGCACAGCCCATCCTGATATTCTGTTGCCAAGAATATCACTTCTCTAATACAGTGAATGCCTTTGCCCCTCCACGTTGTCCTGCCGTGTCCTCCAGGTTCCCCTCTGTTGCTAATCCACACCACTCGAGGATATGATGGAGGTGGGCCAGGATTAGATTTTCTGTAGGCTCTGCTCAGGATAAACGTGGCCCTTTGTGCATTGTCTTGACAGACTAGATCATAAGTGATGTAACCGAACTCAAGCAGCAGTCATCTTGACCAGCCTCCTGTCTAAAGCTTTTGTGTGTGTGTGTGTGTGTGTGTGTGTGTGTGTGTGTGTGTTCACCTCTGTGTGCAGGGTGTAAAAGGGCAAAGTTAAAGATGATTTATGATCTCTGGTTTCCTGGCTCCTCTCTTGAGGCGTCTCCTCCCGCGTGGGCTAAAGCTAAGCACTCATTAAGTCTAATTAGAAGAGCAGAGGAGGCACTGGTCCCACCCACTCTTTAATCAGCCATTGACACAATCAGCTTCCCTCGCTTCGTCAGCAGCTCTGCAGGGCGGGGGGGACGGACAGGGAGGCACCCGACCAAGCTGAAGGCCCAGCTGTTCCTGTTACAAGTGTGGAAAACGAGGATTCCCTGTCTCACTGTGTGTTTCAGAGTGTGTCACGCCTCTTCATCCCCTTCTATTCTATTGTTATTTATATTACGATAACTTCTGAAGTCATCGTGTTGTCACAAAACATTCCGAAAAGAGAAACCTCACATGCAGCGTCAGGGCAGCGAGTGTCGGCTGCCGGCTATTGATGATTCAGCGTGTTGAATCTGCAGCTGGCATACTGTGTGTATTACAGCTCCCTGATTGGATGTTCAGCTCTGCAAATCAGTGACTTCATCCATTTAGTGAGGCGTCTCCTTTTTTTTTTTTATTTGTCTTTTGTTGTTCTGCATGCAGAAGAAGACCGTTTCACCAGATTTGCATTATCATGAAAATGGTTGGCTAGTTTAATCTTTGTTAGATGCTTGGTCTTTTGGTCTTTTTGTTTTTTTAATACAGACTACTGACTAGTTATCCTTTACTGGGCTGCATACATCACTGCTGCGCCTCGACTTCAAATGGGCCGCTGAGAATTTCAGCAATATTTTAGATGAATCCACGTTTTTTTTGTTTTTTTTTTTAAATACTTCCACCTCCCTCCTCCTCTCGCTGCCTCCACACCTCAGCCCCGCCCTCCCTCTCTCGCCGTGTCTCCTGCCCTCCCTCCACATAATCTCAGCCTTCCAGATCGCGGCATCATAAGCCCTCTGTGAATGGCAGATGGGAGAGCTAGGTGGGTGTATAGAGGCAGAGCGAGGGCAGTAGTGGGTGTTAAATATGTTGAAATGCTTTTCTTTTAAAGGCACCATCTCCTCTCTTTCTCTTTTTTTTGTCCTGCTCTGTGCGTTTCTCAAAGCTGCTGTTTGAAAATATCTAAAAGGTGATTTATTGTGTCTTGAGTGTGCCTGGTCATCACACGGATGCTTTCTAGCTGCACACCTGCCTTTCTCTCCGAGACGCGGCACGAGTTACCGCTTTAAGATATCGGAGGCAGATCTTTGTAAAAAGGTTGCAAGTTAGTCGTTACTAGATCTGATGCGACATTTCCTACTTTTCTTTTCTTTTTTTTTTTTTTTTTTCTTTTTTTTTTTTTCAAACAAACTTCTGCATATGCAGGTTATGAGAATAGCAAACGCATCCTTTCCATCAAGAAACTCTTAGGTCGGTTAGTTGTGTTTTTGTGTAACATTGGTGTTTTTAAAGGACTTGTTCTGATTCTCCCAAAGAGAGAAAATGAATGTGTAGACGATACAGTTTGTGTCCTACTTCTTTACTCTGAAACCGACTTCAAACATGCTCGCTCATAAAGATCAGGGTGCGCTGACATCTGTGTGGCGATAAAGTCAGCACAGCACAGGTCATGTCGTCCACGTATCGGACGGTGGTTTTATGGCCGCCTCGGTCTGACCTCTGCACTGATAAGAGGTCGATGCTCTCATGCCGTTGTTAACCTTCACACCCTCCACGCGGTCACAGGGACCAGGTGAGAGGGTGCTACAGATCAGGAGATCACTTTCTTAGTAAGATGGGGTTTAGTGGCAGTTAAGCTGTTGAATTTAATATCTCGTGGGCGGTCTGCTTTCACACTACACCATTTCCCATTCAGTTGTTTACTTTATGATCAGCCGTCCGGCTACATCCGCTTGTTTCACTCTCTTAAAGTAAACTTCCGTTTTAGCCACTGATGTGACATCACAGAGGCATCAGTGGATTATATATTATTTTAAATAAATTGTTTCTGTTGTTGTTACTCAAACACCTGATGGCAACCGGACACTAGTGCACATGTAACATGTTTGTGTGAGCGGAGGCTGCTGTCAGTTGTTTCTAACCATAATGAAAATGTTTCATCAGTCACCAGAAATACTGCGACAGCTTATTAAAAGCTTCTCTTTTTCTTTTTTTCTTTTTTTTACATCTGTCTGTGAAGTCATGTCCAAACTATCTCCTGGAACATGGACAGCTTTGAGCCAGAGAAGAAGCAGATTAAGGACTAAATAAAGCAATTAACAAGTGGGCTCCCACCGTCCTATAACTTTTCTCCGATTGCAGATGAAGGTTCGGCTTTCTGCAAGCAAGAGCCCATAAGAGCGCTCAAAAGAGGCTCGTTTCTCCCCGAGCAACACCGGCTGTTAACTTCAATATTCACCTTTTGCCACATTCTGCCCGAGAGCAGGCCTCCCAGGGCACCGCTTTGTTTCTCAAGATCTCACAGCAAGAGAGATTTAGGGACGCATAGAGTCCCCAAACAATGACCAGACTCTTCCAGCTAATTAAATTAGCTTCCCAGGCCAGTTAGGATGGGACATAATATCTTAAGAATAAGAGCTTTACAGAAGCTAAATGGTTCAAACAAGGCAGTAAGTCTGGAGGATCAAACGTGTCTGATTTGCCCGCTTCATAACCTGAATTTAACTGAATTTCAGAAATGTTATCACTTGTCTGTGGAACTATATTTTAATAGTCGTCATCTGTCAAACTCTATATATGTTCCAGAAAATGTAGCGCAGGTTCTCACTGGGGCTGGACGGTGGAGCGACTTTAATGGTATATCGATATATGTATTCAAACGAGATATCGGATAAGACGATACCGTTTATATCAATAAAGTTTGATGATGAGTTTCATAACCTGTTTGTATCTCTCCTCCTCTCTCAGTGCAGCGGTAGTAAATGTACAGTTTAGGTTTCAGTTTGTATATGAATGAAAAACCCTGCGTTACCTCAGGACCAACATTTAAGCCTGTGGGCATGTTCATCAAGGTCTGGTCTTTAACTCTGAAACTGGCTGCATTATATTGTTAAATGTATTGAATCAAAGCAGTCCTCAATAGTTTGTCTGAAACGTAGCTTTCACTTTGTCATGTGTTATGATTTGTGTTTTAATTAAAAAGTGCCGCTGACATCTCACACGTGACTTTGACTTTCAGCCTAAACACACGTGATCTTTGGTCGGTATCGACCAGTCCCAGCACACACGTGGCGAGAGTCCGATTGATGGTTATTTACAGAAGACGCTGCAGCTCTCTCTCAGCCGTCTGCGTGTCTGCCACGGTGTCCGGTTAACAAGCCGGCCGCTGCCAAGTGGGTTAGGGTGGAAATGAGAGTGCTGCCACGGCCCCGTGCCAACACATCACCAGATCCCACCACCACTACTGCCAGGCTTGTGCTCACTCCAGCTTCTCAAATGTGAGGATTTGATTACAGTTACTTGTCGCCCTAATCCGAAATAACCCACACGACTGGAGCGAGACGTGCGCTATTGGTAGCCACCTGAATGTAGAGGTTCGGGGAGATTGAGAACTGAATCGGCAGCAGTTGACCTCCACTCGACGCCAAAAGATCATGAATAGTTCAGCTGTAGGAAAGCTCTGTGGCCGCCACCTACAACCCAAATCCCTCACTGCTCAAACCTCCTGATAATTGTCCCACGCCGGCTCCTGTACTCCTCTGACGGCATCACGGAGCGATCTGTTTACATTGACAGGACTTTGGCAGGCTTCCTCAGCTGGAGCTGGTGTGAAACGCTCTCTAGGCTCGCATGTGTTACATTTAGGAATTCATTCATTTCGTGACTTATATTTAATGACAACAACACCTTCTCCAATCACTGCTGGGAAAACAAATTGTAATTTTCACTCTTAATTTATACTCTTAATGGGAACTACATGTGCAGCCGAAAACAACAAATTACCACCGATCGGCAAACAGTGTTCTAGTGGTGGCTTGCTTGGTTCATACTTTGTTTTATTTGCTACTTTGTGTCCACATATTATCGTATCAGTGTTACTTTTAAGGGGCATTATTGGGGTCTATTGTTCTCAGCCACTTTCTGAATGCGGTTTCTCCTTTCTGGTGCTTTAAGGATCCATCAGTGCTAGTGGTTGGTTCCTATGGCATGAAAGACACCCGATATCCACAGACTGTGGGAGAAACGTTGTGGAACGTCTTGCTTTCACCTGTAATCAGCTTGTCAGGTGGCCACAGCAGTGTAGCTCCAGTTTTGGGAAGCCAGATCCACTCACTTATCCTCAAAAAGTCAGCGTTGGTAGAACTTTAAATAGGTGAATATGGTGGATGTTAGTCCGTTTTTATCTTTATAGTTAACACGAGTTTCATGCCGCTGGGGACAGGGTCTTGTTCAGAGTTGCCACAGAGGGACCGTGAACTGGCAGATCATGAGTAGAAGGGTCAATGTCAATGTTCAAGTTCCCTGTTCCATCTCACGATCTGTCCAAATTCCAAAGATCGAAAACTGTTGGGCATTTGTGTTTGAACAGTAACGTCATGATCGATTAATTATTTCTGGAATTAGTTGCTGATCCACTTTCAGTCTCAATCAGTCCTCTCCGCTCAGTTTTAGACCCCTAATCATCAGAATAAAGGCTCATTCTGAGCAAAAATGCCTCAAAAAGACACACTCCTGATTATAATCTATTTTGTAATATTGATGTTTTAATTGTTGGTATGGTGGCTCATGTATTGATATGTTCTTACCTGCAACAGAGTGGGGAGACGTGTTCTTAAACTGAGTTTAAACCACGTGACATCCTGACAGACTGCTGTTACATTTAGCTTAGATTGCTTTTTAAATATATATATATATATATATATATATATATATATAACTTTTTTTTTTTATTATTTGATCACTTCAGTGATCAATACTGGAACATGTGTCACTACCCTCTTACAGAAGCTCTCCTCATAGGCACAGATGATCTGTTATGGTTGATATTATCCAGGCGGGGATGTTGAGGAGCTGCTGGTCTGAGGCAGGAGACTGTAACCTCTGTTTTGAAGGTGACCAGGAGCTGCTCTGTGTGCAGCCTACTGGGGACCCCTTCTGGCTGGAGACAAGACTTCATCAGCACTGGCTTGTAAAAGCGACCCTTCATTATTTTCACAATGTCAACCGGTGCATCAGTCATTGTGTTTCAGCCTGCTGGAGATGTTTCATTTGAGGAATAAACAGCTAGTGGAGGTCGACGATTAGATGTCAGCTTCTCAAATATAAGGATTTGCTTGTTTCTTTCATCTTCTATAGCAGTAAAGTGACTATTTTTGGGGGTTTGGGCTGTTGATTGGACAATACCTAACTTTGAGAATGAACAAATACGAGGTGTGAGCTCGAAGGGATCAGATGAGAACATTTCTCCAGTACGCCGTGCTTTATTCACCAAGTGTTTTTGGTTATCTTGTCTTTGACAGGGTGATGTCTGAGGCTGTTTCTGGTTTCCTTATGTACACCGTTCATTCATCGATCATGTCACTGATTAATCGCCATGGATGCCGAGAAAACAAAATGATCACCCCACTTTTGTTAAATACATTTCTTTTTTTACGAAATATAATTTCTCGTGGTGGATACAAACGATTAAGTAAAAATACAAAAAATGTCATATTTTCAAGATATTTTCTAGCGAATTAAATCTTGGAAGTGGAGTATCAATTTTTCTTAATACGGGATTTTTCAAACCTTTTTCTTTTCCCACACACCAAAGTATTTTGTGGAGCTCCACGACTTGTCCGTCTCCTGTCAGGACCTCCTCAGCACTGGTGTCTCTCTGATGAGCCTGCCAGCTATTGAATATCCACGAAACATGCTGAAGCTTCAGTAAACACACCGACGGCTGTAATAGATTGCAGCTTTAAACAGTCTGCTCCGCTCAGGGACCCCGGCTGACGCCCTGAGTTTGGACAGCAGCATCCACGACAGATCAATGCAGACCGTTTGTGCCGAGTGAGACTCGGGTAATTCTTTTTTTTTTTTTTTTTTTTTTTTTTTTTTTTTTGTCTGCGTTTCATCTCTCTCTCTCCCTGTCTGTCTCTGTTCAGGATGTACCCAATAAAAGAGGTTCCCGTGGAGGCGAAGGCCCTGACTGACTGGCTGTATCAGAGGTTTGTGGAGAAAGAAGAGTTGCTGACCCACTTCTACGACACAGGTCTGTCTCACCATGTCAGGTTGTTAAAGTTGAACTGAAGTCTGAATTCTCCTCAATTTTACGTACAAGACATATAAACTATAACGAAACAGCAGCTATGGTGCATATCTTTTCTATTTTTCAAAAGAGGCTGACTGTTTACATGCACAAACTATTTATTTATCCATTACGGTAACTAGTGTGGAGTGCAGAGCAAAGTTTTTGCTGAGCAGGCATATGGAGAACGGAGATGCAAAGCCAAAAGATGTGATTCCCAGCATGCATGACTAAGAAACTGTTTCTCCAGGAAACCCCTGATTGTGGAAAGCAGGTTTCTTGTCACATGAAGTTTAATACATCTGCGTTATAGAGACAGCAGTCTGTAACTTGTCATTTGTGATTAGCATCCATCTCCTGAGTGCTGTGTTCGTCTCACGCTATGCGAAGAGAGGTTCTACTGTAGCTGGCGTAGGCCGTCTCTCATGGGTGCAGATGTAGCGGCTGCAAATGATGAGACTGTCAAAACTCCCAGCAGCAGTAGTCCTGTAACCTCAGTACTCCATACGTTACTCTGTGGATCACATCACAACATGGAGTAATGCCACGTTCACATCGTATCATTTCGACACTGGCTAAAATTCAGACTTTAAATCACAACATCTTGGTTGAACAAATTTTAAGAAATATGCACGTGAGCAAAATTGTGACCCGTGTGTATTTCTGTCCTCCTCACCAGGATCATTCCCCTCTCAAGACGGACTGAAGGAGGCAGTCTCCCGGCCGATGGTCCTGGACCCCGTGTGGCTGTGCATTATCCAGTCGCTTGCGGTCACCTCCGCCTACGTGTGGTACCGCGTCCTCCAGTACCTCTACTGCTGTTTATTTTGAGCGCGCTGATGAGGCGAGAGTCTTTTTGTTGGACCACTGGAAAAGCCTCAGGATTAGTTGGTGTGTGGCCCAGCATCATACCTGTCCCCCCCGCCCCCCCACCCCCCCACCCCCTACGATGGATGAATGTACATTTACAACAGTGGAGAGACTTAACAGGAATCCCAAAAAAACAAACCATATGAAGAACACAAACACGCTGAATGCAGATACCAATACAATAGGATACTGGTCACAGGCATAGCAGACTTGCACACAGCCCTAACACCACACACTCACTCCAACGGCCTAGCAGAATAATCTCTCGCACTCGTCACGACACATTTCGATGTTTACACGTAGACGCTCACAGGTACATAACTTTTTATTCAAAGTGAACGAAACGAGGCTCAGGACTCCTCCAGAGGATGCTCTGGACCGGACTCTCTCTCTGTTCCCCTCCTAGGCTTTAGCCGTAGTAGTTTTACAGAGTATAAAGTGTGTATGGACGCGCGAGTGAATACATGTGACTGGAAGCATAATGTCTGCCTTTATTCTTCTTCCTGGCGAGAGTTGATGAAGCCCACTGGACCTCTCTTTCGGCTGCTGACTAAGCCCGCCTGGTCACATCTTCCAGAGCGAGCGGCCGTACGGACGATGAGGCTGCGCAGCCCGCTGCTCCTCTGGCCTTCATTGCACTAAGGATCCATACTGCCCTAACTGCTCCCTGTCCCAGGAAATGTTCCTGTGTGGTAGCCGTCAATGTTTTCATTTTCTTTTGTTTTTCTTCCGTTAACCTGCATATCTCCACAACAACGGCCATTGTATTTGTTGTTGACGTCTTTCTGTCGAATTTATTTCACCCCCCCCCCCCTCCCCTGTCGAGGCAGTATTCTGAGCTCACTGAGAAAGGAGGATAATGTTTACACTGGCAGCCCTGCTGAAAGCCTAAAGGGATGGTGGCAATGATGCGGCTCTTGATTTAAGGATTTCTTTGTGAGGCGTTGGAGGGAGGAAGAGGAGAAGGTGCCGAAGTGCTTATTTTAAAAAGAGGAAGAAGAAAAAAAAGATGGTGGCACATGAAGCAAGAATTGAGTCTGATCGCCTAAAGAGCAACTCCCTCGTTGTGGATTCCCCTCGTTGTGGATTCCCCTTTTCATGCTCTGCTCTTCAACAGTCGTACACACACTTGACACAAACATGTGCAGCTACACACAGCAGAGTAGACATCTGTCGCTAAGGATCATCTCAGCAAGTAAGACTGAGAAGGCAGAGACTCTTATTCCCCCATTGGACTACATAGTTTTACAAATATTTAAGCCATATGCTTAGTGTCGTCGGGTGGGGAAAAGAAATGGAAAAATATGATTTTTATAGAAAGCTACCCTAATGATCAGCATTCTAAAATAGAGATTTTGGCTTACAGAACTATAGGTGTCATTACTGTAAATTTACAGCATAACCTGCCTAAGTGAGTGTGTGTGGTTGTCCTATTCCCCCCCGCCCGCCCCCCTTTTTGATATTTATGATTCATGTCGTGTTGCTCTGTTACGTCAGAGTGTGGCGGCAATTTCACCACGAGTGGTCAAATTTGATTTCATTTTAAATTACATGAAACCGTCGTCTTCATGTCATGGTATGTTTAAATCTTGTACATAACAAAGCTGAGGAAGAGTTTTAATTGTTAGGAATGACGGCATCGTTTCTCTTTTTGTTCTGTGATAATTTCAGAGAAATTTAGTTTTTAAAAAAGTCAATGTTTTAAAAAAAGAAAGAGGATTCTCCCTTCATTTCTCAGTGTTGACCTTGGTTTTTTATTTGTTTGTTTATGTTGATTTCCTGACTAGGAAGTCGTGTGCTTCAAGACAGAGCTACTGTACGTCCGTGTGCTGGCTGACACAACGTCTGCACAGCGACACATGGGCCCAGTTTCAAACTTGTACCATTGTACATTTTTACGTCATCAGGATTTAGTGGAAAACCTTGAATATCAAGCCTTACCTGATGTCCCGGTGGACCACAATCCCCTAAATAATGCTGTTTCCTCACACTCCCTCTCGGCAAACATTTGTTTTCAGGATTGTTTCTTGGCGTCGAGCTCAAACCGGGCCAGCGAGGAAGGGATCGCTCTTCACTGAGGAGGGAAGCTCTGGCAGGGCCCTGCAATGACGCAGCTGTTCTCTCTCAAATACACTTGTGTTGTGGTTTTGAGGTCCATCCTGTAATTTGCTTAGTCTGCTTAAATTAGGAAGATTATAGGGGAGCAGCAATTATCATCATCATCATGAACAAATGCATAAAATGTGCGTTTTGGTAGTTTACTGCCCTGCCTGCGTGCCCCTGTTGGTAGGAGCAGTGTGGAATGAGGAGAAAAGGGCCCGACTGGGTCGGTACAAACTCTTTAAATCAGGCGGTAAATGTGATTCATCCAGCGGCCCTTTCAGATTCCCCTCCGCCGTGAGAGTGAAAAGAAGCTTCATCTTTATTTTTCCTCACCTTCTCACTTCTTTCTTTTTTTTTCTTTTTTTTTTATTATTTTATTTATTTATTTTCTGACCATGTTTCCAAAGAAGGCAGGGAAAAAAATGTTTTCCTCGATGTGGTTTTAGGAAATAAACACAATAGGGATTTAAACAAATTATACTAGAGCTGTCTGTAATTTTCCATTTTGTACTTCTCCTTTAATTCCTAGCTGCACAGCCATTTTACAACACAAAAGACTTGTGCTGGAATAAAACATCATAAAGAAGCCAAACAGTGTTATGCTTTCTTTAACAAGTGTTATACACTTAAGTAGTGTATTCCTTTGCTGTTCAGTTCCTCTGTAGGTTTTCAGGTATGAATGCATTGGACATTTGAAGGGAAGCTTAAAGGATTATTTACACATTTTTGGGAATTATGCATAATCACTTTCTGGCCGAGAATTAGATGAGAAAATCGATACAAGTGTCATCCCTGAGTGTTAAATATGGAGCTGCAGCCAGTTAGTGTAGCTTAGCATAAAGACTGCAAGCAGTGGGGGAAGGCTATAGCTTAATCATCTTTAACAATAATGTGGTATGGAGCTGAGAAATAAAATTAGATTTTTTTAAATATAGTAGAGTAATATTAAGTTCATATGTATTATATCAATTGATTGGTGGTAAAGGGAAATTAAGGTTTTTGCTTTATTTAGCTGAAGGTTAAAGGAAAAAGAATAAAGCTTTATATTTGTTTTTACATTTCATTTTATCTAATATTTATTGACTTATCTTGTTATATTTGTGACTTGTCTGATAACTTTTACTTCATTTTGGCTCATTATTCGGGGGTTATGTGCCAGCCAGTAAAAAGTGCCTTGTAGCGTTAATACTTGTGTTTGTCATGTTAACTGGTGTTTATAACTTATAATTTGATTATTTTCTCTTATGGACAGAGCCAGGCTGGCTGTTCCTCTCTGCTTCCTGTCTCATATTTAATCAAGTTAGCTTCGTATTTAACAAACAGGAACTCGTGTCAATCATCTCATCTAACGTGAATTCTGCAAAAACCAATAAGCACGTTTCCCTATACGTCAAACTATTCTTTGATTCTTCCACAGTATGTAGGAATCCTGAGGGTCTGATAGGAACTTCAAAAAGGAAAGCATCCTTTGTAACCAATTTTAAATGACACTCGTGTTCAAAGTGTTCTCGTTTGTCTGCAAATGTAAATGTCAACTGTCACATTTTCACTTCACTCAGTTACTGAGAATGGTCTCCAGTTAACCGAAGCCCGTGTGTGCTCAGTCCTGTGCCCGTTGTTTAACTGTGGTGTCGGTCACCAGCTGTTGAAAGTCACTGGTTTATATTACACAGTTCTGATTTCAGCTGTGACGCCCAGTCTCTTGGTGTTGGGCTCGAGTCACTGTGAACTCTCTTGACCCTGGCAGACGGTTTACTGCTGCATCAACCGCAAAGGGATTATTAGTGTTTCCTGTCTGGAGCAAACCTACTGCACATCTGTGTACTACTGTATGGAGAAAAGATGTATATTGAGGTGAGGTTGGACAGAGGGAAGCACTCTCAGGAGAAATAAAGAGGTATTCAGTAAGGTAGTAATACCTCAATGTAAAGGTACTCAGACCTGCATTCAAAATCATACAGTATTCTTCAGCAAAATGATGAAGTAACAAAAGTTGAAGTACTTGCGTGTGTTGTATATGGTATATTACAGAATTATCACCTTTGCATTCATATGTGAGCAGCATTTTTGTTGTAGTTGGTTAATCTAAAGCTTTCTTTTTTTCACTGAATAATGGATGGTGTTTTTTAAGATATGTCTTTTTCTATGAAAAACAATCTGGAAAGTAGTAATTATGTCAAGTAGTTAAGTAAAAAGTATATTTCCCTCTGAATAATTGTAGATATGTGGTATAAGGAGACATACAACGGAGAGGAAAGTATAAAAAGGAATATTTTGACATGTTTGGAGTTTTTCTATCTTCCTGCCAAGAGTTAAGATTGATGCCACTCATGTCTGTAAAATAGATATGAAGCTAAAGCAGGCCGCCAGTTAGCTTAGCTTAGCACTCGACCTGAAACAGCTAGCCTAAGCTAGCTGTGACAAATATTTGGACAGAGTAAGCTTACTCTGTCCAAATATTTGTCTAGCTGCACCTTTTAAAGCTCACTAATTAAGATGGACTGAGCTATTTATTGATTGGGACCAGTTGTCAGGCAACCAGTAGAGACCTCAGGAAGTTACTAACCCAAGACAAGAAAGTGTTTCATAACTACCCTTACACTTCTGTTTTTCACTTCGTATTAAACAAGCAAGATACAACATGTTAATGAGGGAGCTTGTAGGTGCTGGTCGGCAGATAATGTTTTGAAACAAAGCCAGGCTAGTTGTTTCTCTCTGTTTCCAGTCTTTGTGCTAAGCTAACTAGCTGCCTGCTTTAGCTTCATATCTATTGTGCAGACATGAGTGGTATCGATCAACAAAGCCAAAAAGAGTGTGTCACTATATCGAACCCAATTTCTTTACAGTACTTGAGTGAATGTATTTAGTTACATTCCACGGCTGGCACTGTGAGTTTCCATCAGCACCAACAGTTCGAGATATGTGGAGGGTCTTCAGGAAAGCCGCGCGCTTCAGGCGACCAATGGCAATTGAGATTGAAAACAGCAGGATGTGAGCTGGAAAATGGGATTAAATATGCACGAAGCTACAATAACCAAAGGGCTATCAGTCAGGAGCCACGGTGTTGCTCAGCGTGGGGAGTAGCATCATCACCCTGCATTGACACTCCTCTTCCTCAGTACAGCTCCTCCTAAGGTCACCCACATTACACAGACTAATTCATCCCCAGAGGAACTTTTGTCCTCTGCAGAAGTAGTGTTCCTCCTCGGACACCTGCAATTAACTATTTCACGGGTACTGCTCCCCAAGGTCTTTAATGTCACACTTTGATGCCTGCTCCCTCATGAATGCTGCGGTGGTGGCAGTGTCCCTTGAGTCAGCAAGCACTAAAACATCCAGCTGTGAAGAGGAGGGCCGGGCTGAATGTCTCTGCAGCAGCTGCTGGCCCCTCCTGCTGTCACAGGAGAGCCTAATGACGGCTGGTCGGACCCTCGGTGTTGTTAGGATCAGACGTTCCTCATATCAAAATCACGAGAAATATATTGTCTTTTGCTCCTAGTAGTGTCAAACCATGAAGATGGGTTTCAGTGTTCTGTCTCCACCCCAATACAATGGAGGTAACCTCTTACCAGGGTCATCATCTCTCAGTGTAAACCTCTGCACATGAAAAGGCGCTTTGTTTTGCACAAATGAAACAACCATATAGTGTTCATCTGTGAGCTTTAGAGGTGCTGGTAGGTGGATTTTGTCGTGTTCAGACAAAGCCAGGCTGGCTGTTTCCACCTGTTTGTCGTTATGCTAAGCTAAGCTAAACGGCTGCTGGCGGTAGCCTCCATTTACCAGACAAGAGCGGTATCAATCTTCTCATCTCACTCTCTGCGATAAAGCAAATAACAGTATTTCCCAAAATGCCAAACTATTCCTTTAATATTTACTGTAATTAGCCTAATTATTAGCATATCAGTCAGGAGTCTGAAAGTCCAAAGGAAAGAAAGCACCCAGGTGATTGCCATTTAAAATGTAGGTCACCTTTATGTGTGTTATCTTGTCTTGAGAAGGCTCTTTGAGGGGAAACTGCACCCAAAAAAGAGTACCATAAACCTCCATAACAGCAAAGGTGAAGAGGTTATCCTGTAACGGAGCTGTCTGTCGCTCTTTCTCAACTCTTGGCCTTTAACAGGGGGCAGCTGACATTAGAGCGGCCTCGGGCACCTGACTGTCTCTGTTGTTTTTAGCTGTCAGTTCTCCGCTCTACCCCCTCCCTCCCTCCACTGTTCCTGGCGGATGTCCAAACTCCTCCAGCTCTTTGTAGGAGTGACCTTTTGCAGAGGCAGACTGACAGACCGGCTCTGGCGCTCACTCTCTTGGTGGTGTGAGTTTTGTCAGTGTGTGGTACAGCAGAGAGCAGTAAAGAGGATGATTTCAACACAACTGTTACTGAGGCTTCCCCACTGAGAGAGATGTTACTGACAGCAGGGATCACACATCACAATGTGCTTGTGATGAGAAAATAATCTTCGTATCTGCCACGTAGGAAATCTGAAATGTAATAAAAACTGTTCATGATATTGCTCCAGCTAATAACCAGATCTAACCAGTTTGATCTCAGGATGTTTCAACAAGGTGATCTTTATGTAAGTGCAACTTAACCAACATATCTTTGGCACTCTTGCCTAATTTATGGCTCAAACAATGAATCGATGATGAATAATTTGGGGGAATACTTGTCTGTCAATGGACTGAATGATTGCTGGTAAAATCAAATGACCACTGACAATAAGATGCCCATCAGCCTCCCGTGTGTCTCTCGTATGAGGCGTAGAAACTGCTCTGGCGACAGCCGGCAACCTGTTCCTGTAACTAGGAATATCGGGGATAACAAGGTGAGGAGAACAAAACCCTGAAGATCACATCAGTCAGTGTCACAGATCTTTTTATTCCAATAAAAATAATATTCACCGCTGCTATTTACAAACGTATTCAAGGACAGTTAGTCTGTTCATTTCAGTTGAGAAGATTTTTAGAGCATACGCATAACTGTATATGCTCAAATGTTACTTGGTCTTTGTATATTTTTAGTGAGCTATTCTTACCTTGGCTTGATTAATTTTCTAGACAGCTACCAGAGCTTCAGTGGGAAACAAATGTTCTCCGTTAAAGGGCTCTGCAGCATTGAAGGCAAAGCTATCTATTGGTGGACCTCAAAGTCGACCATAGGTGTATAATGCTAATGTTTTATGGACAAAAGTAGGGACTATTTCAGATAGTGATCACTGTTGGCCTATATATCTCAAAAAGGAAATGGTTAGTCATGCAGTTTATATTGTTTATTATCACCATTAGTTATCTTTCTAACAACTCCTCCTCCTGTGGTCCATATTAAGATACGCAGTATTATCACCAAAGGTTAACTCTTCAATAAAAACATGTAATATTGGCAATACAATTTACTTTTGCATTACATATATTTTTTTATTTTTTACTATATACAAACAATGCAGGTTGGTCAAATTGTTATACAATACAAAAGGGGTGGAACATAGTCAGTTAATAAAACAATCAGAATCCCTTCAGCAGGCCTACCATACAATTGTATCACACATGTGAGTATACTGCCTATATGTAAAGTATCTATATGCAGACAAATAAAATAAATATTAATTCGGTGTAAAAGAAAACGCTCTGTTACTCTTAGCCACTGCCATTTAGATGCGTCTAATGATCCTAACCCTGTTTCCTGGAAGCATGGCTATGGCTTGACCGTGTTTTTTGCGCTGTCCCGTGGTGAGGTGAGCACACGTCATCTACCCGCTCTGCTCTCGCGGGTTTCAGGCGCTTAGCAACCTCTTAACTTGTATTGTCGCCCTGTCCAATCAGGAGCCCCCGTGAGGAGAGAGCAGACCAATCACCAATGACGATTTGGGCACCAATTTAAACCGAGAGCAAACGCTTCCTGTTTTGTTTATACTTCAACACACACGAGTGAACGAGCAAAGAAACCAAAAGCCAAACATTTGGTCTATTTCAGTAGAAAAGTAAAGTTAAAGACTACTTCGGAAGTCGCTGGTTTAACTTCATGTTTAACAGCCCAGTCTAACTTAACGTTAACGCTAAATTAACGTTAGCTTAAGTCCGGTAACTTTCAACGTTAAAATGCCGTCCCGTGTTGAGGATTACGAGGTGTTGTTTACTATCGGCACAGGCTCCTATGGAAAATGCCAGAAAATAAGACGGAAGCCTGACGGGAAAGTGAGTAACGTTCACACGTTTTGTTTGCACAGAGACACTGCCCACCTGTACGTAACGTTTACCTGCAGCCACGAGGCCGTTCGTTATTGTCACTCGATAAAATGTTAACGTGTAACATTAGTTACTGTTGATTTAGATAAACTGTGATTCCAACAACAACAACAACAACTTCCGGAAAGATGAATGAAAATAGCGTTAGGCGTATTTTGAGCCCTCAAAGTCAGTATTTTAGGAGGTGACATAAATGGATGAGAGGTAACGTTACGTTGTTCTACTTTCCAAAACCAACAAATATCCGAACCAAAAAAAAACATGAGAACGGTTAATCCTGTTAGTCGGCAGACAAACCCAGGTGTACATAGGTTAGTCAATTAATTCAAATGTCATATCGGCTTCTTTCCCGGTGTTCAAGTAATGGCGGACACCTTGATCTAATGCCACCATTTACAGCTGAAAAGATTAGTCTACTGGACTGTGGGTAGTTGGGTTTAGCTACTTACTTCTGTGTCTGACAAGTAAAGACTTTACGTTAGCAGCTGAAGGGCAGCAGTGGTATAGGTTTAAAGCAAGACTGTAACTTTAAAAACAAGAATTAACACTCTATCATTTACTTAAATAATATTAAACTTGGAGCAATAAAACGTGGTGGCTATTGTTGGTCAACTTAAGAGATAATCTTATGTAACTGACTTTATTGAGTTTATTAATTGATCTGTGACTCTGCTTTTACATTTGTATCATCCATTTTTAAGCTCTCTTTGAATAATCAAGCCTCTTTCGTCTCTAGATCCTCCTGTGGAAGGAGCTGGACTATGGCACCATGGCGGAGAGTGAGAAGCAGATGCTGGTGTCAGAGGTGAACCTCCTGAGGGAGCTCAAGCACCCGAACATAGTGCGATACTACGACCGCATCATAGACCGGACTAACGCAATGTTGTACATTGTCATGGAGTACTGTGAAGGTGGGGACCTGTCCAGCGTCATCACCCGGTGCATCAAGGAAAGGTGACTATCATCCTTTGTCTTGAAATACACAATGCACTGCATGTTGCGTGTTTATGTGCATTGTAAAAGGTATGGGTTATGTTTTCTTTCTACATCTGTGCTTCCTGTGTGTTTGTGTTACCATGGCAGGCGTTATGTGGAGGAGCAGTTTGTCCTGCGTGTCATGGCACAGCTCACGTTGGCCCTGAAGGAGTGCCACAGACGCAGTGATGGCAGGGCAACGGTTCTTCATCGAGACCTGAAGCCAGCGAACATCTTCCTCGACATCAGACAGAATGTGAAGCTCGGAGACTTTGGCCTGGCAAGGATCCTGAACCACGACACCAGTTTTGCAAAGACATTCGTCGGGACACCTTACTACATGTCTCCAGTGAGTTGTTTGATCCTGCTTGGAAAATGTAGCCTGATCCCTTGGTCTTCCTGATAGTAGTCTAATTAGCAATGTTTGCCACAATCTTTCAACGTTTCTTTCTTTCAGGAGCAAATGGACCGGATGTCATACAACGAGAAATCCGATATTTGGTCACTTGGGTGTTTGCTGTATGAACTGTGTGCATTATCGTAAGTTTTTCTCCTTGTGCTGATTTTCCCCACTATGCGGTTTGTTGACCGTGAATCTGAAGTGTTCCCTGGATTCCTCCTGTTTAGCCCTCCGTTTACTGCTTACAACCAGAAGGAACTGGCAGAGAAGATCAGAGAGGGCAAGTTCAAAAGAATCCCATACCGATACTCTGAAGAACTGAACACCTTACTCTGCAAAATGCTCCACCTGAAGGTTAGAAATGAATAGTTTTGTCAGAAGCTTTGCTTATGCTACCTGCTAAACGTTGCGTTTTCATGTCGGTGGGGTTCAGTAATGTTTCCTTGTCGACAGGACTACCTGAGGCCCTCGGTGGAGTCGATTCTCCTGAGCAGCCTGTTGGCTGATGCTGTTGCTGAGGAGCAGAAGAGGGCACAAGCGCGACTCCGAAGGAGGTCGGCAGACTCTGACTGTCCCCTTAACAGGCCGGCTGAAGCGATACCCGCCTCTGCTGCAGAGCTGGGACTCAGGGAGCAGGCACTGCGTGACCGGGAAAAGGCGCTGAAGGAACGTGAGCAGAGGCTGGAGCGTAAGACTTTTATTTCTACTCACGCTGACCCACATCTGTGTGACATTATGCTCACCTGCAGCTGGGATTTTCACAACGTCGAAAAACACTTATCATTGTTCAGGTGTAAAATAGTATTTAAATATCTTTTTAAAGTGACTGGGGGAAATACAAGTGAAATCCTGTGTATTTGACATTGCAACTATCCTCTTGCACTGAGGCCTAAAAGATTAGTGTTTGTGTTGCTTGTGACAGAAGTGTTGCAAGCGAATGTTATTAAAAAATGTGTGTATATGACTGAATGTGCAAATGTTACTGTCACACGGCAAGTAAGTGCTACGTATTTGAAAAATAAAAGCTTCTATTTTGTCTCTTCATTGCAGAAAGAGAGCAGGAGCTTTGTGTTCGTGAGCGACTGTCAAACGAGAAGCTTGTGAGGTAAAATGTTTCTTTTCAGGCTAGAAATGCAACAATGGATACGTTTTAGTCATTTCTCCTATTTTGATCATTCTGCCATGTCACTCTTACCAACTGATTTGGTGTAAACTCTTTATCCCAATCTACTGTTACAGAGCAGAGAGCTTACTGAAGATTTACAGCCGTCCACAGCAGCAGAGGGATCTGACACCGTTCTATGGCAAAGACATAGGTATGGGAATGAGACGAAGACCTCTGGACTTACTCAACCGAGACATGAACTGAGAAATGTGTTCAGTTTGGAATGTGGATGACTAAAATTACCTTAATTTATTACTTTGTAAATTGTGTTTTTATACGATACTCAATAAAGAATTATTACACACCTCACAATCTGAAATCTAGCTGTCATGTTGGATTGCGAAGACTGTTAAAGGGGCTACCTGATGATATACAGTTGATCCTTGTTAATCGGTGCCTTCTTACTGTTTGGTCCTAGATGTGGAGAACGTCTCCCCTGGTAAGAAGAAGGTCCACTTTGCCGGTGAGAGCAAAGAGAACCAGCGGCCGTCGGACGGCCGTCGGAGTGTCGCATCCCAGGATCTGATTTTCAGGAGGCTGCAGGCGGCCAAGCAGCGCGCTCAAACACTGAGTGAAGTGGAGAAGACCTGCCAGTTCAAGAGCAGGCAGATACTGGGCATCCGCTGATCGTACGCGTATCTCTGTTTGACTTGTGACTGATATGTGAAAGTGAGGAGTCATAATAACTGGATCTAAATTAAGCTTTATTTATGATGTGTATTGTAATATGTATGTTATTGCAAGCTTTGTAATGTCTGTAGATGGATGTTGTGATTGTCTATGTACTGTATATTCTTGCTAAATATAGGCCTATGTAAAGTTTTCTCATAAGCTGCTTAGAAATAGACAGAACTGAGTGATTGGGAGTGGAATCCACAACAAAATACAAACACTATTGTGGTTTGGACAAGAGTGATAACACACGAAGAACAACTCCTGAACCTGTGACATCAATGAAATGTGCTGATTGAAGGATTGTGATGGGGAAAGTTTTTATATTGCATTCCTTGATAACTACTTATTGTAGTTATAAATGATTACGATACAATAAGAACATGTTCATCCTGCCATAGATGCTCAGTATGCATAGTAAAATATATTATGTACTATTTATTCATACTTAGTCAAATGAAATATACATACTTTATAAAAGGTTTTCAAAACCAATTACTCTTTCCATTTTCATTACAATTTACTATAAATGCACACTAGTGCTTAATATAGACAACTCCCACAAGGGGTCATCAGATACCCATGAACAGTTGACTACTCAATTCAGACTTTTGATTATAGACAATAGTTTGTTCTTGATTAATGGCAGATTAAAGGGTAAGATTAAAAGGGACATTTATATTATATTATGCTTTTGTTCAATAACAGGCCTCAAAGTTGTAGTTGATTAAATTAAAAGACAAACACGATAAGATAGGTTTCTAACAATGAGTAATTATTTCCAAATACATTTTTTTTTGACAAAGATATAACTACGTATGGTTTAACAACATTACAAACTGCTGAATATCTTTCTGTTTTAACACCAGTACACATAGAGGAACAATCACATTGCCACCAGTAGAACATAATATTCAATAAACCAGAATAAGTGTGTATTTAATGCAGACCAAAAACAAAATGAAACAATTGACAAACAAATATTTAACAGACATTTAAATGAGGTCTTTGTTTTATTGATTGCCTCATGTTCAGTGATGACAATCACTCTAAAGAAATCAATTAAAAAGGTGAATACAACAAAGGGCCGGCGCTTTCCCTTGTTGAACATGTCTGTTGAATATTAATGAGGTTTCCTAAATTAAGTACTGATACTTCATAGATTTACAGACACATTAGTCATCGCGAGATTACAGGCGCAGTTAGCGTTCTTAGCAACCGCTGTTGTCTGGCTCATTTGCTCCGCCTACTTGGGAGAGTCGCACAATTAGACCAATCAGATTCAATCTTGCGTCATATCCGCCAATAGGAATCGTCCGGGGCGTGTAATTATGGTGCCGTGCTCCGTGTGGAAAGTTTACCGGCTCGGGTGCAAAGTTTCAGCCGTCTGCAAACGTATCTGGAATATGCTGGTGTCGCCCACAGTCTATGTGTACGGTAATTAGTATAATTTACCGGATTAGTTTTACCGTTGGTTGTCTTCAGGTGATTACGAGTGATGCTGCCGTCACTGGAGAACAGCAGTGTGTAAAGACGCTGTTAGCATCGACCGTATTGTCTCAGGGAGCCAGCTAGCTTAGCGTAAGTCGTTAGCTCGGAGCTGTGTTAAAGAGCTAGCTAGCGTTAGCTGAGGTCCCAGTGAGCTCGACTGAAGACAAAGTAAAACGTTTTTTAACGTTAACTCCAAAGTTGACTCGACGAAGGACCGAGAGGAAAGAAAAAATGGCTTGCGAGCCTAACCGTGTGCGGCTGCTATGTATGCTCTCATTGACTTTTGGGTTTTTTATCGTGGAGGTGGTGGTCAGTCGGATGACTTCATCCCTGTCAATGCTGTCGGACTCCTTTCACATGTTGTCGGACGTTATCGCGCTGATCGTGGCTTTGGTCGCGGTGCGATTTGCCGAGAAAACCCACGCGACCAACAAAAACACCTTCGGGTGGATCCGCGCTGAGGTGATGGGGGCTCTGGTGAACGCCGTCTTCCTCACGGCGCTGTGCTTCACCATCGTGCTGGAGGCTGTGGAGCGGTTCACCGAGCCCCAAGAGATCGAGAGTCCGCTGGTGGTCGCCGGAGTCGGTGCCGCGGGGCTCCTGGTCAACCTGCTCGGGCTGTGCTTGTTCCGCGGACACGCCGGCGGAGGCCACGGACACTCCCACGGAGGAGGTCACTCTCATGGGAATAAGAACAAAAGGGGGAAAACCGGCAAGTCCCAGAAGGCTGGCAATGGATCTTCAGGAGAGGAGACTAACAACCTGGTGGGGAACCACAACAGCCCGGGTGACGTGAGACCGAGAAATGGTATGTACATGTAGCCATTGTGTGTAAAGAGTATTAAGTCTCTTCCCTATGTTAAATGATGTAAATCAATGTTAAAGTGTACTTTGTATGTCAGTATATAGTGACTCCAGCATCATTGTTTCCCACATCGAAGCTGACAGCATGTACCAGACTTTGTCTCCATTGTTAGCAGTCCCGGTTGCGTAACAGCATTTAACTTCAATGTAGCAGGATGACACCCTGTGTGAGTGACTAATCCTCATAGTTTCTGCTCTGGTGGTGGCCTTTAGACAAACGCGTTTGTTATCCGATATTTATTGGTGGGTATCCTTGGAGACGTGGTCACCTTTAGTGATGGCCTCATTGATCAAAATTCTTACTGCTCACAATGTCTGAGAAAATGTACTCATGGATTCATTACAATAGTTACAAACTGAACCTACAAGCACCAGACCAACCCCCCCAAAAGTTTGTCCTTGTCCTCTGAAGGGTTAAACCCATACAGAAAGCCATTTCTCCCCCCCACACTGTTTCAATAAGTGGAGGCTACCCCCCCACCCCCCTTATTGCACTGATGGCTGTTCCTGGGTTCATACATCAGTGTACCCGTGGAGTCGACAGCCACACCATGAACTGCTGATGAATGAGCCGGTTGCGTCCCGGGATGGAAGAGAGCAGCTCATTGCTCAGGTGCTGTGTACGCTACCACACTGCCTGCAATTACTAATTGAATGTGCTTGATGTGAACCACGGCAGAATGTGTCGTAGCGTGTAGGATCTTTGTAGAATGTCTTTAGTAAATTGCCCTTAGTCCTCATCCTCTTGGCTTTTTGATGGAGCGGCTCCAACACGTTTCGCCTGATGACATTCTAGCTTTTTAGTTTCAAGTTTCAAATGAACTTTGACCCCAAATGCTGTAACTCAGCAATTAAGCAACTGGCTGCCACTGGTCCTAGTGGCATCTCCTAACTTCATGACTAATTTGTCTTGGAACTGCAGTGAGCTTGTTGTCTTTTTTTTCTGTATTGTCTATATATCTATTTTGAATGCTGTAGTTAGTATATCCGTATTGAAGTCCAGTGGATTATTAAAAGTTCACTCGAGGTTCTGGTAAACGAAACTAACCTTTTGTTTTTATCTTCAGAAATCAGCTGTAAAGACAACACGGAGGTGCAGATGAATGGCAACCCCCTCTTTGAGGACATGGACCACGACCCCGCATCGCAGCTCAACATGCGTGGGGTTTTCCTGCATGTGTTGGGTGACGCCCTCGGCTCTGTCATTGTGGTGGTCAATTCTTTAATATTTACCTTTGTGTGGCAGCCCTGTATCAAAGATGAGGTGTGCGTGAACCCGTGTATCAACAGCCACACCACGGACCACCAGCATGTCAATCACACGCTGGTTGACCTGCTGGAAGGTCCCACTAAGTTTGCCGGCCCTTGCTGGGTTCTCTACCTGGATCCCACACTCTGCATCATCATGGTGTGCATCCTGCTGTACACTACCTACCCGCTGCTCAAAGAGTCCGCCCTCATCCTGCTGCAGACCGTGCCCAAGCAGATCAACATGCACCGACTCAACGAGCGCCTGCTCGGTCTGGACGGCGTGCTGGCCATCCACGAGCTGCACATCTGGCAGCTGGCCGGCAGTCGCATCATCGCAACGGCACACATCAAGTGCCACGACCCCACATCTTACATGGAGGTGGCGAAGCGCATCAAGGACTTCTTCCACGACGAGGGCATCCACGCCACCACCATCCAGCCTGAGTTTGTCACGTTCAACTCGGAGTCTCGGGACTCCCTCTGTGAGCTCTCCTGTCGGACTCAGTGTGCTCCCAAGCTGTGCTGCGGCTCTGCAGACAAACAGAACACAGGCTCTGATAAGAAGGCCGGCAGTGACTGCAAGGCTGCTGCTGCGTCAGCCCTGGAGGTGATCCTTGAGACCCCGGAGCTAGCTGCAGGGGCTGAGGTGCGCCCTCGGTCCGAGCCCGAGATCACCATCACTAGAGAGGTGGAGTCGTCTCTGTGAGATGGAGGGGATGGAGAGAAACGGAGGAGAAGCTGGAAAACCACCACACTGGACTGAAATCATTGTCATGGACGCTGTTATCTTTTTTTGACCCGTGGCTCTGTCGTGGCCCGAACAAGAAATCCTTTTCCATAGCCCCCCCCCCCAAACCCTTTGTGTCTTCTGTATTTGAGTCATTCTTGTATTTTTCCCCCTCTCTGTATACCTATTTTCATTCCTGCTCTCACTTGGCCCCTCTCTTGTTGCCCTGGTAGTATGGTGGCGATGCATGTTGGGGTTCACACACCGTACTTCCGCCAGGACTGGAGCGAGGCCTGCATGAGTGTTCCTCATTAGCACCGTGTTGTGATGCGTCATCTCGTCCCATGGTGTTTCTGTGCCAAAGCTTCTCACTGCAAGACTGAAGGGATCTGAGAGACCCCCTCTCCTCTAAAAGGACACACAACACATGCAAGTCGGAGCGCACATCACTAGGGTATGTTGTTTAGCCTTTGGGCCCGTTGGCACAGAGTATGCCCCTGTTTTTTTGCATAGGCTTTGAGCAGATCTATTTTCTTACCCTCCGGCCCAAAATGGAAGAGTGTTGTTAAATAATTTAACTATTTTAAGTTATTAGAAAGGATTTATTTCTCTCTGTAAATGCTGTTTGTAATATTTAGTTTGGATGATAGCAACAATTTTTGCAATTTTTTTTCTGTCTCAAATGTTCTGACAGACCATCTATGCTGTAGTCAGTTTTTCAAATGTGACATTTTCTAATGATTTTGTTTCTCAAGACTCTTCTCTGGCCTTGACTCGGTTTTACTTGCGGCCATTAGTCGGATACAGAAGCTGTATCAACACCTCTCTCACCTTGCCTTTTTAAATACAAAAAAAAACTGCTGCCAGTAGTAAACATAGTGTAACTCAACCTCTTGTATTGGCACGGTCAAACGCCTGAAGGTTGGGTATGTTGTGAAGAAATGAGCACTGTATGCTATTAATGAAACAATATTCTCCGTATGAATCTGTACTGGAAATCTTTCTTGTGATCGCTGTTGATTTTCATTTGAAATCCTCATGAATGTGTTCAGCACCGCATCACAATCAATGCTGAGGGAGTTTTTTTTTGTATTTCTAGGATGTTCTTCTACGTTTTGCATGACCAAACTGAGACCTAGTGTTCAACTTTCAGGGGCTCCACTGAGAGCTCCGGTTGCTGCTTACCAGTACCGGCTGGTATCATCCAACATTACTCATAAGTATGTAGGGAATGACTCCTCTTATAGCTTTTCTGTCTTCTGCTTTGGACAGCTGAGCAGGCTGTTTTGGCTGAATTAAAGTCCATACGGTGGCCTTTTCAATTGGTGAATTTTCCCTCATCACCACAGATATCATTTAAAGGTGGTCCATTGATGTGGTTCAGATTTCCACTCCTGAGTAAACGTGTATGCAATATAGAAATGTATTATGACGCATTCTTTCATGTTTGGTCACTTTTATTCTGTTTTTAAGACTTGAGCTCTATGTGCAAATTGAAAACAAGTGTTTTTTTAATTTTAGATATGACATGTCAACTGATGTGTTTTTGATATACTATATATCTACAGTACCTGTCCAATGTGTCATTGTGAAATAAAACAAAAAAATGGCTGTTTGGTACAGTTGATGAACCCAAATTTGTCCTTTGCCTTATTTTCACTTTCTCTGATCTTTTCAGTCAAAAATAATGTAATGTTATTTATAAACAACCAATGACCCCAAAGAGACAGAAGTACCACAAACGGATGCAAAATGTCGTGACTGCCATGTTTTTTGTATTGCTGAGGCACGAGGGCCTGTGTATCAGGGGCCTGTGGTCAGGTCTTTAAATTACCATCTTTACACTTTCCTGGGCCACAAATTCTTTAGGTGTCTGACCGTGTGATGCCTTATATGTTAAGAGTAACATTTTGAAATCAACCTCTAAAAGTGAAACTGGTGTAACTTCTTTTTTTTTTTTAAGGTCTTGAATGACTATTTCACTGAGCCAAACTTTGATCTGTAGTTGACTTTTGCCTATTTAATCCACTTAAACCAAAGAAAGGAGAATAAAGAGGAGATTTAGGCTTAAAGAAGCAGGGATTGTGCACAGGACGGCATAATTCATTACACTCACACAGCCTACATTCCAGTTTCTTGTAAAAATCCAACTGAAATTAATATGCATGTTTTACTTTGTGGCAGCATACATTGTTTTGTAAAACATCTTGTGAGCTCACAACTATGAGAACTCACTGAATACACGAACATTAAGAATCACAAACATACTGTAAAGGTAGAAGTCATTCAGATCCTTTGTTTCAGTAAAAGTATAATTCTAAAATGTTTTTTTTACTATGTTTTCCTTTTTAATTACTCTCTAATCTTACTTTTTCTTTAGTTTAGAAGCACAATAATCAGATAAATATAACAATTACTGATGAACGTACAATATATAATACTTATATTAAGTAAAGTACAAGTACCTCAAAAACTTGACTTACAGTGGACTACTTGAGTATATGTATGTTTTTACTTTCGGGTAAGAATGTTAATACAACACATTGATATAGGTTAGCAAAGTTAATATAATGACAATAAGAGAACATAGCCTATAGAACAAATAACTGTTTTAAGACATTTTTCTTTACTAACAGAGCCAGAGTTTAAATCTAATTGTCTTTACACCACATGAAGAAACAGATTATATGTAAAGCTACACACGTGTTGATCAACAAGGCCAACAGGATGTGTGTGGCTCATGTCCTCTGTCCAGCCACAGAACCTCAGACTATCAAAACAGTAATAATGGTCGCAAGCAAATCTGAAGAGTGAGTTGTGGAGTGTCGTGCTGCAATTACATTTAGTCCATAATTACGGCAGCTCACAAGTCTGCTCTGCGGCGTAAAGAAGAAGCGGATGCTTTGTTAAGTATGTGGCTGGGTTTCAGCGGCTGCTGAATGCGAATGTGTGGCTGACGGAGCAGCCACTGCCGGCCCGGCGGGACTTATGTAAGAGGCCCAGGGGCATTCCTAAGGCAACAAGCAAGGGGCTCTACCCAGCATTCCTCACTGCTGCCGGGCCGCTCTCTGCTCGCTGCCTGTCCCTTTTCATGTGGACAGAAAGAGTTTCACGCATGGGGCAGCTCTCTTTTTTTTGTGCTCTTTGTTAAAGTCAGGTGTTCTTTGCACCTTCACTGCAGCCCATTGTACGCAGACAGTAGAGTCGGTCTGTATGCATCCACTGCTGACCCCAGTCTGTGTATGTATTGTTGACCCTTGCCTCCTGAAAATGATGTCACAACTAATTTGTACCAGTGTTTTGAAGGAAACATAAAGCCACTCGGGTTACGTGTCTTATGAACATAATGGTTAATTAACATACAACACACTCAAAAACAGTCTTAATCATTTTCAAACGCCTTCATCGTTATGTCTTCCAATCAAATTTCTGCCGAACATTCCCAAATGCTAAAAACTCTCCTTAATATCTGGATGAATTTGTTGAACTTAACAAAATAAAGTGTCAGTTGGCAGATTTGTTCTGACAGTTGAACAGGCAGGAACCTCCATAACAGTAAAAGACCACGTGACGAAAGGATATTTTAGGTCCTGAACCAAGCTGATGTACTGATCTGACCTTACTGTGTGTGTGTGTGTGTGTGTGTGTGTGTGTGTCTGTGGTCGCACCAGGCCATCTGTCTCTCTGGCTTTGTCCCTGTGATTTTCAAACGGGGTGAGCAGGACATGAGGCTGAAGAGAGGTGAGGGTGAACACTGGACTTGAGGGTGAGAGGTCACTCTGCTGCTAAATGGATTCACCCAACACAGCGCTTATACACACAAAACCCCAAAAGAGGCATCCTGACGAAGCTCCGGCATGTGCCCTCTCACGTGTCACCAATTTATTGTAGTCACCAAATTGAGCATATACATTTCATACATCAGGCGGCCTTTGAAAAAGCTAGAAGGTCGTGAGATACAACATGATAATTAGGGAGCGTCAGAGCTGCTGGTAGACGAGTTTTGTAACTTTTGGACAGAGCCATGCTAGCTGTTTCCCCTGTTTTCAGTCTTTATGCTAAGCTAAGCTAATCCTTCGATGTCGGCTCTTCCTATCATTGTGAAGCAGAATTCACCAAGCGTTGGATTGTTCACCCACTAATAGGGAACGTGAGCTGGGTTTAGACCGTCGTGAGGGCTGCTGGCTCTAGCTTCAAACTTACAGATATGAGTCGTATCAATCTTCTTCTCTCATTATTTTTAGGATAGGAACATTGTTGCTTTATCGGTTGAAATTTGTCCTACTTCTTAAATTAAATAAACCATTAAAAAAACTTTGGATTATTGACAGACAGAGTTTGAATGCTAAAATTAAATTAATAAAATAAATGCACTACATGAGAAATAGGGATTTGTTTTTGGACAGAGTCCCCTCAGAAGCTACAATCAGTGACCTCTGTGTCATTTAGTCCCATTTACAGACAACAGGCTGGGATTTCACTGCTGCTGAAGTCAATTCCCTAAGGAGCTGCCTTAACATTTACCAAAACATTTTGTCTCCAAAATGATAAACTGTTTTTTACCAAATCACTTCTTTCAATCGCAAAAAAACAAACACTGGGCTCTGCTGTTGCAGAGCCCAGTGTTTGTTTCGTCAGTCATAGGCTGTAAAGATGAGCCGATGACTCTGTTGACTCTAATGGATTTAAATGAGGATGAAGCTTACAGCTTGTTTCACTTCCTTTTTCTGCGCATTCTCAACAGCACTTTTGTTTCCTTTATTCAATGTGGGGCTTTTTATAACTCTATAGTAACAAGACTTAAACGCTACCATGCTTTTCTCAATGTGAGCAGTGTGGCTCTACTGATTATACTGTTGGTCTCTCAGTCAGTCTTTATTCCAGATCTCAACTATTAAATGGATTGCTAATTTTGTTCAGATATTCATGTTCCCCAGAGGATGAATCCTCCTGACTTTGGTGAGCTGCTGAATTTCCATCAAGCACCACCACGAGGTTGACATTTGAGACTTTGAGTGAAATGTCTCAAGAACTATTGGAACGCTTGCCTTTGCCATTTGGTACAAACATTCACGTCCCCCTCATGAATGATGAATTGTAAAGACATTTTAAAAAAAAAATGCACTACAGGAATGTTCTGCTGTTTTGTTATGTAACGTTTTCTTGTGTAGTAAATGGACTTCTGCATTTGGTTGTGCGACCCAGTGTTGCATAATGACAATAAATGACCCTTGAATACTTGATGACTGAATAAATACCTAGAACAACAACATTCCTATCAGCTTCAGCTGTACTTTGTGTTTAGCACTTAACTCACTTCTGACTCAGTTTAAAACTTGGACTCAGTTTAATACAGGGAGATCCAAAACGTGTGGCTCATCGAGTGAAAGAAACGAGAATCTCTCTGGACTTTGCTACAGGATCGTCCTCTCCCACACTCCTCTCAGAAACATTTAATCTGACCACATGGCAGGTTTGCACCCACAAAAGACTTAAGAAGGCTGGAATGTTAACCAGCTCTGGTTGTGACGATGACGATGATGATAATCAACGGGGGAAGAAGTCCTCAAATCCTTTATGTAACTAAGCTAGAAGCACCGCAATGGCACAAATCCAACTATTATAACTTTTAAAGCTCATGAATTAACATTTTATATGTTATTTGTTTAGTCCGTACAAACCCAAAGAGTAAAAACGACAATTTGGAGTCTCCACTGGGGGTTATGTGCCCAACTTTTTTGTGGCGGCGTACAGTTTGCACCTGGAGTCTTGTCTTGAACTTGAGGTTCCCAGACTACCAGCGGAGACCCTTTATTAATTACTGAGCTGTAGAGGTGCTGGTATGCATATTTTGTTACCTTGAGAGGGGACTTCATGAACTCATGACCTCAGTAATCCCAGAAACCTGGCTACAACTCTGATATCACCAATCCTTTATGATCCCATGCTATGTTAAATGTAAAATATTAACACCAAAAGAAGGTGAGAATGTAAGATGAATCACAAATGTCTTTGTTTCCTCGCTGTATGATAAAAACAAACCAAACATTGTGTTTTCTCAGGGCAGTGAATACATGAAGGTGTTGGGGGGGGGGGGGGACTGAGTTAATGTTTCACTAAATGGTACTGTACCATCACTCGCCAACCTCTCAGACTTTGATCATGGAGTGAGTGGGTTCAACCAGCAATAATCAATTCATCCCAGTGACAGAAAGAGTGCTAACAACTCCAGGAAGAGAGAAGATCAACAAAAAGCACTCGCTCTCTCCCCCCTTCAGTGATAATGCAATCTACATACAGTAAAGATAAATGTCATCTTCTAATAACAGCCGCTATCAGTTACTTAAGCTCTCAAAGGGGCAAATTCACAAAGAATGGATTGTGGCCGCTGATGGCCCTGTGAATTGTCCCTTCGATAAGCCCCGCCTCCTGCTGTTAATCATTCAAGCAGTCAGAGCTACTTTAACATGGAGCCCACACTGTCACTAACTGCACTTCCTGCATAAACATATAACATTTTGGGAAAAACACAAAAGCGATTTCAGAGAGAAGCAGACAGAAGGGTTTACAGGATATATCCAGGATGTCGTCATGATTCAGTAGTGGAAACAGGTTGAAAAGATAAAGATAGAAGCTAGAGCCTACAGATCGCTGTGTAAAAGTGAACCACCCCATCACCTGGCAATCGAGAGAGAAGATGTATGTGCATTCAGTATACCTTCAGTAACTAGCGTAGCGTAGCTCCACAGGTTTCAATGTTTTTAGACATTTGTCAACCATGCGAACATTAGATAGCTAACAGCGACAAAACATGTTTTTTGATGACCTATTGTCCTGATGTTGTGTCGTAATTGGCGTGGTGATATTCAAAGGTAACTTATTCATTTTATGTTTTTTGTGTCTTGAACACAATTATATATAAAATAACTTACTATGTATACTTCCAAAACAATCTATTCAGTGATTACTCTGATGCGATGCATTTTGTTGCACATAATGCAGTTAATTCT